CCCACCCCCCCATCCTTTTCCTGCAACTTAATCATTTGCAGATCTTACCATGGGGTGCGGACTGCGAAAGCTGGAAGACCCAGATGATAGCAGCCCTGGAAAAATTTTTTCTACGCTGAAGAGACCACAAGTTGAAACAAAGACGGATTCTGCTTATGAATATGTGTTGCTGGATTTTACTTTAGAAGGTATTTTTTTTCTGTTTTATCTGTAATACCTTGAGAAAAGAAGGGGTAGTATTTCACTTAGTTCTGTCTTGTTTGACTTACAGTAAAACTTGGATACTTTTCCCAAAGCTAGCAAAACGTAAGACTTTTATTTTGAAATACAAATCTTGACAAAGGTCTTCAGTTAGATAAAATTACAATGGAAACTGCTGGAGTATTTTTAACAACAGAACTCTCCAAATCGCACAACTGTCCCTGTTAAGGAAGCTGGCTAAAAAGTGCTTGAGAGTTTTTCCTGTGAGTCAGATACTGCCATCCTTACTCGCTTTGAATAATGGTTGTCTGAATTGAGTGTGACTGTTCACAAAATTTGCTGTGCCTGGGCAAGGGTAGCAAAATGCCGTAACTGGGTAACTGTTTTTTAAAATGTGTTCAACTTCTGAAAACAGGCTGCCATTGTCCTTGTTAGTTTATGCAGAAATAAGTCTATTTCTTGGTTGTGTACCAGGAACAGTTTCCCCTCTTGCCCCTACCACAGCCCTTTGATAGATGTTTCAGTAAGAGTCTTCTAGTTTCGTCTTAGGGTATTTCCCAAATGCTTTATTTGTAATTGTTGAAGAGTCTTTTGAAACTGTGAGCGAAGTGCGATACAATTTGTATGCGTAGCTGGAGGCAGACGGTGCTCTGTGGGATACTTCCTTGCAGAGGGTGTCCCGTCTGGTCTCTAGCAGAGCTGCTCCCTGTTCCAGAAAGTTGAAAGCATAAACAAGCCCAGATGGCTGCCCTCCCAGCACAGAGAGCTCAGCTTCGCAGTCACTTTGTAGTAACTCACGTTTTATAACAAACAAATCTCCTGGGAATTCTTAAGAGCAAGGATTTGAAGTAAATGCAACAGCTGGAAGAAGGATTTGATAAAGGGAGAAAGTGCCAGTGTATGTGGTGTTACTTATTCAGGAACTTTTTTGAAAATAAAACTTGACCTCTGTTTAGTTTTCGTTTTGAATTACAGGACTAGTAATATTTTTACTTTACGTATAGCAGTCTGTTTATTGAAAAACTGCAAGAGTATTAATAGAAGGAAAACATGCTAGTAAGTTACAGTACTTGACATCCCACCGTATTTGTAGCTCTGTTTATTTGCACGTATGAAGATGAGTTGCTCATTTGTTTCTACAAACAGAACAGATCAAACTTTCTTTGTGTTGAGTAGTAGCAGTAACATACTGGAAGTAAAGCTGGGCTGCCTCGCCCATGCATTAAATACCTACTAATGTATTGATAACAAAACTTAATTTTCTTGAAGCTGAAGTGCATTTAATGTTCTTAGATGGTCTGTGTTCCAGACAGTTTTGCTTTATTTTAAAGTAACAAGATTCTGGAAGTATCATGAAAAGGGTTTGTTATAAAGAAGATTGTCACTTTTAAGCAAAGTGCACATCAAACAAGTGCAAATAAAGATGCATCACTGCATTGTTTTAATAACATAGCATATTACTGCAATAAAAAAAGTTAACTCTTTTTTGTGTTCAGTCTCAGATTCCAAAGTGCTCAGCTTCAGTGACGTACTATGGAATTTTGAATGCTAAATAACATTGACAGCGTGTTCAGCTTTAGATAGTAGCCTAATTTTTTAGGTTTGTAATTGTAGGGAATTAGGTTTGTAAACATAGGTATCTCTCTGTAGAATAATTTTAGCTGTGTATATATATATATATTTATTTATTTATTTATTTAT